GTCCATTAAAATTAATAATAATAATAAAAAAAGAAAACAAACACTTCAAGAGCTGTCCTGTGAGAGAGAGGATAATATCCATATGCATGAAGAATGTAGCATCATGTTTGGAAGAAGACTTATCAACAACAAGAATTGTGCAGATGACACACCTTACTTGCTGAATGTGAAGAGAATTTGAACCATTTGCTGCAAAAAAAAATCAGACTAGACTCCAATATTAATTTATATCTCAATACCATGGAAACAAAAATTCTCACCACTGTACCATTAGGTAACATCATGACAGATGGAAAAAAGATTGAGGTTGCCAACGATTTCATTTTATTTGGATCCACAATAAACAGCAGTCAAGAAATCAAAAGATATATTGCATTAGAAAATCTGTAAAGGACCTCTATAAAGTGCTAAATAGTAAGAATGTCATAAAGACTAAGGTATGCCTGATCAGAGTCAGAGTCTTTTCAATTACTTTGCATGCATGTAAAAGTTGAACAATTAATAAAAATTACATAGAAGAATCTGTCCATTTGAACTGTAATATTAGATAAGGGTACTGAGTATCCTGTGGACTTCCAAAAGAAGAAATAAGTTGGTCTTGGAGGAAGCGCAACCATGGTGCTCCTTAGAGACAAGGATGGTGAAACTTCATGCACATATTTTGGATGTGTCAGGAGAAGCTGTTCCTTGGAAAAGATGTTATACTGGGAAATGTTCTTCTTCATTAAGTCCAGCTTCTCAAATGATCTCAGATAATCAGTATACAGATTGATTAGATATAGAGAAAGGATAAAGACATCATGCATACCTTTCTTGATTTTAAACCATGCGGTATTCCCTTGCTCTATTTAGACAACACCTTCTTGTCTAGGTATAAGTTTTGTACGAGCACAATTAAGTGTTCTGGGATTTTCATTCTTCTCAATATTATCTATAATCAGTTATGTTCCACACAGAGAAATGTTTTTGCATAGTCAATAAAACACAAATAAGGTTGTTGTTGATGATGATAGATGCCATCAAGTATAACCCATAGCCACCTCATGAACAATAAATCTGAACTCTGTCTTAGTGCCATGCTCATTGTCTCTGACGTACTTGAACTCATTGCTTCAGTCACCTTCAATCCATCTGGTTGAGGGTACGTCTCTTTTTCACTGACCCTCCACCTTTATAAGCATGATGTCGCTCCCCAAAGACTCTCCAAAGAACAGTCTTTCCTAACAACAAGCCAAAGTTTGTAAGACAAAGCTTTGATGACTTTTCTTCCAAGGAACAGCTTCTCCAAGACATATTTATGTTTTTGTGGTGGTTTTGTTTGGTTTTTTAAAATTTTTGGCAGTCCATGGAATATTTAGTACTCTTTTCCAATGCATCTCAAAGGCATCAACTTATCCTCTGTCATCCTTATTCATAGACCAGCTCTCTCTCTGATTCATAACAGATGATTGAGAAGATCATGACATGAATTAAGTGCACCTTGGTCTTCAAACAGTCAACATTGCTCTTTAACATTTTGGAATGGTCCCTGACAGCAGACTTGCCCAATACATCTTCTTCTTTCTTGACTGTTGATAACAAGGGTGTTGAGTGTGAATCCAAGTAAGATGAAATCATTGACAACTTCAATCCTTTCTCCACCTATTATAATGTTGACTGTTGATCCTTTGTTTTCTTGATAGTGAGAAGTAATCCATCCTGAAGGCTGTAGTCCTTGATCTTCTGCCCCAAGCTGGATCAATATTGTTATTAAAATATGCCTAGATCTTTCCATCTGCTCTCTACACTCATTAGAAATTTCATGTTGTTATTAAGTGCCATTGACTTGCCTGAGACTCATAGTGAAATTTTAAACAAAATATCCAAACCCTGTGCTATCTTGTGTCAGTCTCACAGACTCCACCATACCTATTTCCATTACCCTAGTAACTGTGTCAATACAACTAATCCAGAGTCATCTTTTCCTGTGCTGTATCTCCACTTTTCCAAATATTATGTCCTTCTCCAAGGACTGGTCCCTTATGGCCAAATGACCAAAGTATGCTAGATGAATATTTAAAATCCTTGCCTTCAAGGAGAATGTTGGTTTCACCCTCTCCAGACAGACCTGTTTGGGGATTTTTTTGTGGTCTATGGCATGTTTATAATCCTTCTCCAACATATCTGTTATATAAAATTGTATATAGGAATAATATTTGACCATGTTGTTGTTGTGTACCATAGCATCAGAGCCGACCCATAGTTGACCCTTCAGTAGCTGTTAAGAGGCAATAATTGCACAGGAGGAGATTGCCCATCCTCTCACTCAGAGCATCTGGTAGCCTCTAATCACATGATTTAGGGATTTCAGTGCAGCTTCTTGCTAATATATCACCACTGTTGAAAATTCATACTAATAATTGCTACTATTTCATATGGCAATATTTATTTTAGAATTGCACTGTCTTTGCCTTTACTGGAGTTGTCTGCTCTGGTTTCAAAGATTATCTTAATCCTCCACTAGACAAACAAATAAAATATGATAGGAAAACCAAACCTCCTGGCTGAAACCATTTCATTCTGGATTATTCCACAACTGGCAAAATTTTGATGCTTTCATTCTAAAGATGGCAGCATGTTCATTGTAAAATAGCTTATATCTAAAAGGCTACTTTCTCCTCTGGAGTAAAGGAACACTCTGAAGAATATTCCTGGTGAACATTGCAGTCTAAACATAAAGACATTGTATTCTCCATGGTGAAAAAGAACCCTCTATAATGTAATGTTGTGTGTTTTTGTTGTTGTTATTTGCCATCAAGTCACCAGTGACTCTTAGAGACCCTATGTACAACAGCCCTAAACCCTCTTCTATCCTGTGCCAATATTATTGTCTCTGACACACCTATCCTGATTACCCCAGTCCCTGAATCAATCCATCTCACAGAGGGTCTTCCTCTCCTGTGCTGTCCCTCCACTCTTCCAAGCATGATGTTCCTCTCCAAGAACTGGTCCCTTCTTGCAACATGGCCAAAAAATGTCAGACTAAGCTTCTGAATCCTTGCCTCCAAGGAGCAGCCTTGTCTCACTCTCTCTAGGATGAACCTGTTTATTCTCCTAGCAGTTTATTCAATACTCTTCTCCAGCATCACAGCTCAAAGACATCAATTTTCCTTCTATCATCCCTAGTCCTTGTCCAGCTCTCTGACGCATATTAAGTAATTGAAAAGACTATGGCCTGGATCAGGCATACCTTTGTCTCCAGACTTACATCGTTGCTCTTCAGCACTCTGGAGAGGTCTCTAAAAGCAGACTTTCTTAGTGCAATTTGTCTTTTGATTTCCTGGCTGCTGGTACTAAGAGTGTTGATTGTGGACAAAAGCAAACTGAAGCTGTCAACAATCTCAATCTCTTCAACATCTATCTTGATGCTGCCAGTCATCCCAGTGGTGAAAATTTTTGCTTTCTTGATGTTGAGCTTCAATTCATATTGAAGGCTGAAGTCCTTGACCTTCTGCAGCAAGCACTTCAGGTCCTCCACAGTTCCACCTAGCAGAGTTCTGTCATCTGCATAATGCAGGTTGTTGATTCTTCCTCCAATCCTAACGCCAATATCTCCTCATAGAGTCCAGTCTCCCAGATAATCTGTTCTGCATACAGATTGGAAAGAGTGTGGAGATAGGTAGTATAATGTAGAAGATACAAAGTGCAACCTTTATTTGCAGTAGGCATCTTTCAAATAACAAAATGATCACTTTCCTTTGACTTTCTCTGGTACTTTAGTCAGGGAGTTGAGCAGCTAACCTGAAGACCACAGTCATTCTGGTGGTTTAAATTCACCAGTGACTCTAAGGGAGAACGATGGGCAAATTCCTCTGTAGGATATAGTGCTCAAGAAAATCCATTGGAGGATCAGCTATGAGTAGGTTTATTTGTTCATTTTAAATTTCTAGAAAAGCTTTTCTGGCTAGTCTATATGCCTCTGCAATCTTGTAACTGTCAGCCTATGTCTATTTCTTTACCAAGCTTAAAAACTGTCAGTGGCTTTTCCATTGTGGTCTCATTGAAGTCCTGAATTGGGGGTGTCGGGTGAGCGGATTCTAATTTCCTCTTGCTTTAAGTCACATGACTAATAACAACTCCCTCCTGACATCGTCATAAAAGGATGGCTCAATCCTCAGAGCCCCTGTGTCCTGCAGAACATGGCATGCAGGCCCTTGTCTAGGAGGCGGTCTGCCAGTTCTCCAGGCCCCTTCTTGTCCTCTGATTCTTCTAGGAGAACGTAAACTTCAGCAAAAGGTTTAATTCTCACAGAAACATCTGCCTCCTTCCCTACCCTACCATAGCAGTATATTGTTGTTATATGTCATGGAGTCCTCTGTGACTCATAATGACCCTATGCACAATAGCTCTGAACCCTGTCCTACCCCGAGCCAATAGTACTGTCTTCAACACATGTGGCCCCCTTTATCCCAGTTACTGTGTCAATCAATCTCTTCTGGGGTTTCCTCTCCTGCGCTAACCCTCCACGCTTCCTAGCATAATATCCTTCTCCAGGGAATGGTTCCTCCTGGCAACATGCCCAAAGTATGTGAAAAGAAGCCTCAAAACCCTTGTCTGCAAGGAGCAGTCAGGTTTCACTCTCCATGATACTTTCAATACTCTTCTCCAGCATCACAACTCAAAGCCATTGGTTCTACTGTCATCCTTATTCATTGTCCTGGCTTCTTTTAAAACTTGAGATTGTACTATGAAGGCTGAACATTAGAAAGTCCCCTTTAGGGCACAGAATGAAGGGCCCTTCAGTAGGGCGCTACAAGAAGAGGACATGATCGCTCTAGCCAGTGGGCGTGCAGCAGAACTGTTGTCATGGTTACACGGTACAGTAGAGCCTTGCTCACCATGTGCCGCCATCCACAGCCAATAGCGGCCCGCCCCTGTTGCCATGACTACCTTGTGTGTTAGCTTTTAGTTTGGCAGTGGGCGCCAGCCAGGCTGCTGGAGCCGCCTGGACTCTGCTGCATGGTCCAGATGCTCGCACTCAGACGCGGGCCAAAGCCAGACTCCCTGAGAGCCCAACATGAACCGCAAGAAGCTGCAGAAGCTAACGGAAAGCTTAACTAAAAATTGCAAACATTGTAAGTAAGAACCACGTGCTGGACTCGTAAAGGCACCTGAACCTACTGAGCCTTCCAGGTGCAGATCCCCATTGTTCCTCACATCTAGTCTGCAGACTGTGGAGCCCCATCCAGCTGCTGACTTTTTGCACCTCGCTCATAGGCATATAGGACAGTCATCCACCCCCAGGTTCTTGAAGGACAGCTGGTCTGACATCTAGCCCTAAACTAGAACACTTGAACTTCATTACTTGATCTGTGTTTCCTCTCCCTTTCCCTCCTTCTTCCCCTTCCCCCTCCCCGTCCGTCCTTCTTCCCCCTCCCCCCTCCTCTCCCCTCCCCTCCTCCTTCCTCCCTTTCCCTCTCCTTCCTCCTCCGTCCCTACACCCCCCACCCCAGACACTTGTGATCTTAGTTTCAGATGTTCTGTGCCCCGAGTTGGAACGGACTCATGGCTGACCCTTCGGGAGGTTTTTTTAGAGGCAGTAAAGAACTGCTTAAAAGGAATATATTATTAGGTATTATTTGTATGACAACAGTATATAATAAGAACTGTATTGTAAACTGGACTGGGGTCGGGGTGGAGAATTGTACAGCAGTGAAATTTTTTTTTCCAAAGAGAAAAGCGAACTTGGGGGGCAGAGAGGAAAATGTGCAACAATGAATGAATGGAAATCCAAGTTCTCTATAAACTTTCATTAAAGTATCAATTAAAAAAAAAGTCCCAAAGGGAGGAGCCTACTTTTTCTCCCACAGAGTAGCTGGTAGACTAAAATCTTCAGCTTGGCAGTGCAACACCAGAGCTCCTAAAATAGAGACATAAAATGAGTACAAAAGGCAACCAAACTTGAAATTACCACCACAACCAAGATACACCATGTAATTTTCTTAGGCTTTCTATTATTGTTGTGTACCTGGAGTCAGAACCCATCCAAAGCTGACCCTCTATCCAGTTTTCAGAAGTAGTAAATCTCACTAAAAGAGATTGCCCATCCGTCTCCCTCAGAGAAGCTGGTGGGTTCAAACAGTGGGCCTTTGGGGTTGCAGGGCAGCTTTTTAGAGCAGCTAGTGTATTAAAACCTTGTGGTTTTGGGATTGTAGCACAGGTTTTTATCATTAAACCATCAGAGTATTCCTCTTTCTAACTCCGCTAAAAAGAGGAAATAAGCCAGCAGGGTCTAAATCCTAGAAACTTAGCAAGAGAACCACAGAGTGATAATGACTCTTAACATTTTTTAGGAAGAAGAGTTTAAGTTGCACAGAGGATAATCCCATAGCTAGGAGATACTCAGATAACAAAAAGTCCCACAAAACTAAATGTATGACAATGAATCTGCTCCCAACTCTAGACTTCGTATGTTGGTATCTGGTGGGGTTGAAAGGTAGATAATGCAAGTGACAAAAGTTCTTATTAAAAGTATTTTTCTTCTGGTACATGGTAGCACTTTGAAGAGGTCCTTGAGAGCAGACATCTCAATATAATGTGTTCTATTTTCATGACTGCTGATACCATGGGTGTTGATATAGAATCCAAGTCAGATGAAATTGTTGACAACTTTAGTCTTTTCTTTATCTATCAAGATATTGCCAGTTGGCCCAATGGTGAGGATTTTTGTATTCTTAGTGTTGAGTTGTAATCCACATTGAAGTTTGTGACTAAGGTGCTTTTAATTAAAGCCATAATCTTGGCAGTCATTTGCTATGTGTCTAAGAGCAGTACAATGAATTAGGAGGACAGAATAACAATCAAACCTTTTCAGTTGTGGTGTTAGGAAGAGTACTGAATACCCCGTGGATTGCCAAAAGAATAAACAAATATGTCTTAGAGAAAATGTAATCAGAGTGTTCCTTTGAGGCAATGATGGCAAAATTTCATCTCACATATTTTGGACTTGTAAGGAAGGAACATTCTTTGTAAAAAGAGATCATGCTTGCGAAGGTGGAGTGTCAGCAAAAGAGAAGACCCTCTTGAAATGGATTGATACAGAGACTGTAGCAATGGGCTAATCAGAGATGATTAGGATGTCAGAAGGATAGGACAAGGTTCAGCTCTACTGTTGATAGGGTTGCTATGAGTCAGATTCCACTTGATGGCACCTAACAACAACAACAACATCATATGGTGGCATAGCCTGTAGGGAGTTGTTCTGCTAACTCACCTCTCTGGTGGTTCCTCTGTAAGAAAGATAGGTCATCTCCTTCCCTGGGATTTAAAGCCTCAAAAACTCACCAAAGAGTATGAGTTGGTTCCAATTGGATGACAATGAGTTATTTTATCCCAATTGCAACTTATTGTCAAGAAAACAAAGATTCCTACCACTGGACCAATAGGCAATATTATGATGGATGGAAAGAGATTGAAACTGTCAACAACTTCATCTTACTTGGATCAACAAGCAATATCATGATCAATGGAGAGAGATTGAAACTGTCAATAACGTTATCTTACTTGGATCGACAATTAACACTCTTGGTATCAGCAATCAGGAAATAAGGAGGGGCATTGCACCAGGAAAGTCTGCAATTAGGTACCTCTTCAAATTATTGAGTAATGGTGTCAGTATGAGGATTAAGATGTGTCTGATTCTGGCCACGGTCTTTCTGATTATCTTAAGCATGTGAGAGCTGGACAGTGAATAAGGATAACAGAAGTTATAAGGATAACTGACACCTTTTAGCTGTCATGTTGGAGAAGAACACTGAACCTCTCATGGACTGCCAAAAGGACAAATATAACTTGGAGAGGGTGCAGCCAGAGCCCTCTTTGGAGGCCAGGATGGTGATGCTTTGCCTCACACACTTTAGGCATGTTGCTATGAGGGGCTGTTCCTTGGAGAGAAGCATGATGCTTGAAAGGGTGGAGGGTTGGCGAAGAAGAGGAAGACCTTCGACCAGGTAGATTTACACAGTGAGTGCTGCAGTGGGCTCTAGTATGTCAGGAAGTGGGAGGATGAGATAGGATAGGGGTCAGCTTAATTGTTGATAGGGTTGCTCTGAGTTGTACTTGACCTGATGGCACCTAACAGCAAAAACGATTGCATGTCTTAAAAGGAGGACCCAGAGATTCAAAGGAAACTTCATGATTATAATTAGACTGGAAAAAGAGTTTTTCTTTTGGGGGGCATCAGCACTGTGGATATGGTTTAGATAAAAATGATATTGTCTCATGAACAAGCTTTTAAATTGTTCATTGTTATTGCTAGGTGCCATTGAATACATATTTACAGTGACCCTATGAACATCAGGTCTGATCCCTGCCCTATCCTCTATTATCCTCATCATTTTTGCCACACAAAAGCCATTGCTACAATACTACATCAATCTGTCTCATTGAGGGCCTTCTCTTCTTCTTCTGACATTCCAGTTTTCCAAACATAATCTCTTTGTCCAAGGACTAGCTGGCCCCTCCTGACAACATACCCAAAGTATATGAGACAAAATTTCACCAAACTCAGTACAGAGCATCCTGGTTGCACTCTATCCAAGATGTGTTTGTTTCTTATTTGATGATGCATAGGATATTTAGTGTCCTTATCAGCATCATAACTCAAAGTCAGATCATTCTTTTGTCGTCTATTCACTGTCTGACTCTCATATGCATAGCAAGTAATTGAAAGATCATGGTTTTTGCTCTTTGTACTTTGGAGAGTGCATTGACTACAAACTTTCCCAATGTAACACATCTTCTCTTTTGATTTCCTAACCACACATGCCAAGGTTGTTGATTATGGATCCAAGTAATATGAAATTATTGCCAATTTTTTCTTCATCATGATGTTGCCCATTGGTACCTTGGTGAGGAATTTTGTTTTCTTGATGTTGAGATGTAATCCATACTGAAGACTGTATGTTCCTTAATTTTTTACAGAAAATACTTCTAGTCCTCTTCACTTGAAGATGGTGTTCCAGCTCTCCCAGGCTGTGCCAGCTGTCATTCTAAATCATGTTGTTGTTGTTGTTATGTTCTGTCGAGTTGCTTGCAACACATAGTAACCTTATGTGCAACAAACCTAAACCCTGCATTATCCTGTGCCAGTCTTACTGTCTATGACACACCTACCCCCCATCACCCCAGTCTCTGAGTCAATTCATTTCATTGAAGGTCTTCTTCTCTTGTGCTGTCCCTCCACCTTTCCAAGCATGACATCCCTCTCCAAGGACTGGTCCCGCCTTGCAACATGGCCAAAGTATGTCAGACAAAGCTTCAGAATCTTTGTCTCCAAGGGGCAGCCTGGTCTCACCCTCTCTAGGATGAAACATGCACTAAATTATGTACTAATTGCAAAACTACTGGCCACTAGAGGAGAGAGGAATAGCCTTCATCCAAATTTTAGTGTAGTTCTAGAGATCATAGGATTCAGTGCCTTTTAATCATCATATCTAGGGTAATGAGTATGATTACTCTTAGAAGGGGTAGAATTGTAAATAAAAGTTAGGGTATACATAAGCATTTTAAACTTCTTAGTAAAAAGATACCTTGTAACTTAAGTTATTATTAAGTTTATTTTAACCTTATAAGGATTTTTTGTTGTTGTTGAGTTTTGGTCCTGTTGTTATTTTTCTTAAATATTTACTTAAATTGTTTTATTTCTGGGAAAAGAGCAGGTATACTTAAAACATCTAAAAAGCATTTTGAATTAATAATAAAAAACAATGCAATAATTATTACTATACAAAACACTCTATAGCACATAGGATTATCTAACCTGTTATTTTGGAAGTGGAAAACTTCTTAGTGTGACTTAATTTGGATGCTCAGCTTTAGAACAATATCTGACAGGCAAACATTTTACCGAAAGGAGCAGATGAGTTGAGCTCTGGGGGTCTAGTGGCAAGAAACTGCATGGCAATCCCAGAGGTGTGCAGTCCAAATCCACCAGATGCTCTGCTGAAGAAGGGGGGACAGTCTCCTCCTGTACCAGTCAGATCTGATTTGACTGTACACACACAATAATAATAAATAAATAAATAAATGAATGAATGAATGAATGAATGAATAAATAAACAAACAAACAAACAAA